AGATTACTTTCCTTTGTAACTGGTATTTCGTTTGTGTTTGCTTTGTTGTCCGCTAAAGGGCCCGGGGTGAGCTATCCGCCACACTTCGCGGGACTTTCATAAATAAGTGTTACTTAAACGTAGTAAGTAATACTTTACCGGAATGGTCAAAGGGTTTGAGTATGAATGAGAGTGGCATAAAGCGAGCGTACAGCGGTCATTTTTAATCTCTGTTTGACGTCGAATTGGCGTAGAGGTGGTCCTAGAATTCGTATAGGAATTCCTATCTCAATGTAAGATTCACGTCAAATTCAGCGAATGCCAGCGTCGCAATTAAACTTGCCAAACAGCTGCAAACGAAGATTGGAATACTAACGCGCCCAAGGACATTAAATAATATAAACTAGACGTAGTGAACTAAGTAAGGCACCGCTCGTATGGCGAGATCGACCTGAAACCAAACATTTAACTGCTATAAATATGCCAATGGCTATTTTTAAGTAGTATTACTATTACTCGAAGTATTTTTCACTGTGCATAGCCAATAACTTCGTGCTGCCTCCATCTCACTATGCGAACTGCAACGATCGCGTCGACAGTCGCCTCTACCGCAAATATGGCCTTAGGCTACGCGGCCTTTTCACGTTCTTCCTCATATCGACTTAGAAACCGACTGCTGACGACCGTGGCCAGTTCCACTGTTTTGTCAAATCAAGAGCGCATCATGGTCGCATCTCCGGTTCTTTGGGATGTTCTCGTGACTCTACGGTCTCCTCCTCGTGTTGCCCTTTGGATAAAGATATTATTTGGGATGGGTCCCCTGGCTTGCCGCCAACATTCACATCAACATGCGGATCGTATTTTTCACATACTTTCTCCCATGAGCGACAGTTTTTCTCCTAAAAACCACAAATGACATTGCATATTTTGAATTATGAACCATGCCTTAGAAGTTTTTTCACTCTCTGCTGTTTTTGTTCAGTTACACCTGCTGACTCGTGTGATTGTATTACTTGGAACAAGTGAGTAGTCGCCTACAATTACGTAAGTGACCTTCTTTGAGATGTTCGGCTGTGCCGATGCATTTCTTAACTACTGGGTATCAATAGAGAGTTCAAAGGCGTTCGCCTATATTCCCCTTAATAAACTTGACTTGACTTGAAATTATAATTTTCACTGCGTTAGCTTGTTACGTGAATTTACTGCACTAGCAAGCAAAGGCCCTCCAAAGTGTGGAATCTGTTAAGGGTCAAATTTACGAAGGACTTGTAACCACTCGCAAACCGGCAAGCTTTAAAATAATAATGAACACCTCTCAAGCGGATTCAAAACTTAAGCGAAAAATGAAAATTAGTATATTACTCCTTTTACAAATACTAACTTGTTCAGAATAACGGAAAATTCCGAAAACGTGATAATCGCCCCCACCGTTAATAGTAAATGTAAACAGAACTATCTGGTAACCTCTGAAATACATCATTTTGTAAATATTGGAGGAAGCTTCCTTTCGTCAGCTCTATTTATTGGTATTTCTGGTATTGTATTATATCGATTTTCACATCCATTAAATGCCGGTGAATACTTCAGGACCGTTACACTTTTTAAGCGACTGTCCATAACGATAGATTCTGTTTTGCATGTATCAAAATCTTCAAACCATGGTGTTTCTTTAAAGCATTTAGCAAAGTAATGAGTTTCTCAACTTTCCTTATCTGGTCGTTTGGATTATATTTGTAGCCTCAATCGAGCATTACAACAAACACACTAAGAAGAGGCAGATGTGATTGCCCGGATAGGCATTTAATGCTCCTGTAAGTTCGAATTCTCGCGAATTCACCACCGGGGAAAAAAGCTGAGAAAAATATTTGTCCAAAACTTCGGCAATTATTATCCTGAACTATCGGCATCCCAAGAAATATATATGCTTTTGACGATAAAGACCTTTGGGAAATAATTACGTTTATGGTATGCATTTTAGAGTCTGGTTCGCCAGCTCGTAGTCAGACAACTGAGAGTGTTGTGAAAACGGTTAAATCAAAACGATGACTAAAACAAGATTCTAGGGAGATAATAGTCCCCAGCATTTTACTATGCGGTCTCTGGGGAAAAATAGCTGTCAGTGATGGGTGTTTGGGCTTGCATCTGATCTTGAGAGATTTGTAGTGTACGTCCAAATCGATATGCCTGTTGATGCATGTTTATGGTACCCCCCACTGCGTGGGATTGGAGTGAGGCGTGGTAGCGGCTCCGGCCGCCTGCGCCCGATCCCGCCTCCGGTCTTCTTGACTTCGTATTGACACCCAGGATGTGTGGTTGTGGGAAGAGTGAGTGCGGTAGATGCATAGCCAGCCCACTATTACAGTAGACTGGTTATCTCATGCAATGTGAAGATAGAAATTCGAATTCGTGGTTAGACATACATTTGGGGTTGCTTATTTTATTCATTGAAGGCGCAAAATTCTGTTTACTAGAAAAGAGTTTAGTTCATATAAGAATATTGAAGAAAAAAGTGGACTCAATTGAGCCAAATGCAAATTTTCTTGAGATCCAAGGTATTTCTTGTGTTATTGAATGCTGCGGACCAAACCTTCTCGTTGATGCGTGTTGTACTATAAAATAACATGAATAAAGTCCAGAAACGTTTTAATTGTATCTTTTCTGTGAACAAAATTGTGTTTTTTTGGGTTCATGAAATTGAGGTAAATGCAAATATGAGACAATGCATTATTGTCGGGAAAAGAAGAGCGAATTAAGTTTAAAAAATTTATTTTGCAAATCTGCTACGTTTTGGGTCATGAAATTAAGCAAGTAAGTAAGTCTGTAATTTACTTTACCACACCGAAAATAACGACTTTAAACAAACACATAGATGAACACCAGAGACATGTCATCTTTTTTCTCTGTCAAGCAGTAAGCAAAAGATGTACAAACGTTTTCTATCTACAGTTCAGTGTGAATGAATAGGGAAACATAAAAGTGAACGGGCAGAAGATTCTCAGTTTTCGGGGCCTCAGATTAAGAAAGTATACCGAGAACTGCTCCAGTATGCATAGAAAAGCAGGTCTTTTCATTTTCAGCATAAGATGTATTCCTAATGCTCAGGGTAGTCAAAAATGGTCACACTTTGCCCTTCTTGTCTTGACGTAATCTTCGAAAAATTTAAATTACGCAAATACTTGACACCTAAATATCTAAATAAAGCGCTAGTTCAAGAAGTAACTTGTTATAGGAAGCCCTTTAGTTGGTCTTAGGCATATTAATCTCTGAAATTTGTTGCGGACGCTCACTTTTCCCAGCAATGACTTGACATGTTTGGATGATCCTAAAACCATGACCCAGACAGACAGGTGCACCATAAAAATGCCCAAAAACTCACTATTTAGGTGAATGCGTTTAGGAAATATCTTATTTGTAATGTTTTGATAAACATGTAGAATATAATCCGTAGTTATGGACCATAGGCTGAAACCAAGTAAAATCGTAAAGTGTTAACCACCATTCCAAGAACGATCTGAACCTCATCGTAATCGAAATCCCGAAATAATTACAAGAAATGTGACAGAAGAAGATTCCTCTTAGTGTGCATAAAATGGTACGTTTACGATGGTACCTGACAATTCCATCTACATTTATTAGTCACTAACCGGCATTTTTGCACGTGTTTGGCCGATGTTATAATATTGCGTCAAGGTGTGGTGCTCCTGGATGAAGAAAAATAACGGAGTGCTGGAACAAGTTTAAATAAGGGTGACCAGATTAGTCAGCAGCTTAGGATGTCTTCTATATGAGGGTTGAATAGATAGGCTCAAGCATTTTTTTTCTTTCTATTATAGGCAATACAGAGGAGATGTGATCATAGTGCTCAAACTCGTCAGTGGAGTTGACTGTGTTCTTCAGATGGCTGATTTCTTTGATTTCGCACAAACCACACATCTCCGAGGTCATCCATACAAACTGAAGAAACACCATGCCAAACTAGAAGTGCGGGCCAACTTCTTTCCTAACCAGGCCACTGAAGAATGGAATAAACTGCCTTCGTCAGTTGTTCTTGCTGAAAGCGTTGACGCATTTAAAAGAAGACTCGATCTTTCTTTACTTGCTGGTTATACATTTGGTAGACAACAACGATTTATATAATGTACATATATGGTTTTGATACACATCAGTATCAGTTTATTTGAGGGATATATAGGAAGATTGCCTTTGAGTTCGCTATTTATACTTGTGTGTCGTGGTAGCAGAAAAATGGTACCTCAGTTTGTTGGCGAGGCCAACTGTCCTAAGCCATGAGGTGGTACATAGTTGTTTAAAAGGCTAGCAGACGGGGAAAAAACTCCTAAGTATTTTTTAGGAGAAAAACTGTCGCTCTTGTGGGAGAGAGGTGTGGAGTTTAGGAGAAAATACGTCCGCTCTTGGGGGGAGGATCATAACCGAGTGCGGAAGATGCGGCCTGATACTTCCTTGCTGATTGCAGAGTCCGCCGACAAGGTTGGCAAAACATAAGCATCCGCCCAGATCGTTCACAGTCCGCTGCGGCTCAAACCAAGATTGAGTGTTTAAGGCGCCAGGTTCGGTTGATGCGATCGCCGACGGGTTCCCCCATGTATGCATATAGCCAAATAGGGAAGACCCCGAATATCTTCGCATGGGATTAATGGTAGGAAAACTTAGCCGTGTGTAACAGCATAGCGCATATAAATGTTACTGAAATATTGACAGTAGTATAAGTATTCATAGTAGCATTGCGATTAGCCGTTGGTGGACAAGCTGATTGTACCGGAACCTCCTTAAAACGTAATGCTATTAATTAATAATACTAAAATATAGAAAGTAGTATTAGGATTGTACACTTTCAGTCC